GCTGCACCCTAATCTCCAGCCCTGGAGCTGAAAGATCTTGGGCCCCTGTTTCCCCTCAGTGAAAAGCAGTCTTCACTTTTGTGTGTGCCAAACTCTGCAGACTCCTGAGATGAGTACCTGTGCCAAGCCTCTTGCGGAAGGTAGAGGGTTGCTGTGTTTCTGTCCTTTGTAGGGCATCTGTATGGAGAGTTGTCACCCGATCGTGCTGCAGTTCACAGTTTATGGCAAATCGAGGTGAGAGCCCCCTCCTGGGATCACTGAACTTAGCCAGTTTCCCTGCTTTGATGCCTGGAACTCTGTTGACTCAAGCACGCCCGTTCTTTCTGTGACCCTCGGAATCCTGAGACCACACTGTCCTACCTAGGATTCTGCCTGCTTTGTCTCCTGAGCACCTTTCAGGCAGGGATGTCTCTCACTGGAACAGACTTCTAAAACTTCTGGTTTTGCACTCCAAGTTTACGTCACTTTCCGGTAGCCACCTTACAGAGGTTACCTCCCCCTCCCCCCAACCCCCGCCATTTATTTCTGATATATCCCCTCATATTCACTTCTCTACACCTCCTACCTTGCAAAAAGTGGTCACTTTTCTATTTGTAGAATTCCAGCAATTCTTTTCTTTATTTTTTTAAATTTGATTTTATTATGTTATGTTAATCACCATACATTACATCATTAGTTTTTGATGTAGTGTTCCATGATTCATTGTTTACGTATAACACCCAGTGCTCCATATAATACGTGCCCTCTTTAATAGCCATCACAGCTTCTTCTTGGCTCTCTTCCAATTGCTCAAGTAGCAATAAGGAATGTTAAGTATCATCTGTTCTCTAAAGTGGTGTTAGAACAGGATCATCAGGAGATATTATGGTGGTTTAGGGGCACAGAGATTTTATACATCAAGACTAGAAATCACATCACTGTTTTGTTTTTTAATTTTCTACAGCTTCTAACAGGAAATAACCTGAACTGAAATAATGATTACCCCCTCCCGAAAATGTGTATATCTTGACATTTGATCATGTTGTCATCTCTCCCCTGACACCTGTCCAAATCCTACTTCAAGGCTCAATTCAATGCTATTCCCTTTTAGGCTGACTGTGATCCCTTTCAAAATCAATCCCTCCCTTGGCTCTCTGAACTTCTATTATATTGGGTATCACATACTGCTTTTTGCTAGTCACCCATATCTGCCTTGGCATTTTCAAGGTTTATTCTTACTCCCCTATCTCCCTCCTAGAATCCAAAGTTTCTTACATAGATGTCTTCCTTATGTTTGTATAGTGCTTATTAGGGCATATCAAAGGTCACAACTTACCTCACTTAATCCTCCCAACTTGGGAGGTGTCAGCAGGCATGGATTGGTTTTTTTGTTTTTTTTTGTTTTTTTTTGTTTTTTGCCCCATTTCACAAATGAAGAGACTTAAGACTCAGTGGATACATAATTTGTCCAAGATCACAAATCCTAGATGGTAAGAGGCAGAGCTCAGGTCTGTCATACTTACAAGACTGGAAAGAAATTCTAGTCTATGTTTGAGATGTTTCTGGAAGAACTTAGATTTCAAATCTGAGATCTAACAAACCCAGAAATTGAAAGATTACAACCAACAGTGTCAAGTTTATGATTTCCAAGACCAAAATGGTGCTTTTGGAGAATCAAGTCACAGACATTGGTTCAGAAAGACATCTCTGGAATGAGAGGCAAATCTTGGCTCATATTGCTTTGTGGCCCCATTTCCCCACCTGTGAAATAAGAAGGTGGTGGCTAGACTACCAACTCTAAAGATCCTTCGTGCAGTCCATGAGTCCTCACTATCAACTATGGTGGCTGGGACTTGTGGGTAGGATGGCCTGAAAATGCTCTTTCCACTTTGCAGATTTGCAGCAGGAAAGGCCAGAGGCTGAGCTGGAGGTCCAGTGAGAGGGTTAGAATTGCAATGACAGGCCCAGAGCAGGGATTTCACCAGAACAGAGTACAGGGGGGTATAGTGTCCACTCTCCTAAAACTACTGGGGTAGAGCCCCTGGGAAGGAAGCATGGTGAGACAGGATGGTATTAGGTGTGGAGGCAGAGGCCAGCATTCCCACCAAATACTTTCGCTGATGCACTGGGGTCACCAGAAGGTTTCCACTGCTCTCTGGACCAGTCTCCCCATCTGTGTTGCGAGTGAAGGTCAATACCAGCACCAACAATGGGCAGAGGCAGCCTGGGACCACAGCTCCCACTGCAGGGCTGGGACATGGCACACACACCAGCACCGCCCACCCCTGCCCAGCTGCCATCCCACTAGCAAGTGGCTTGGAAAGAGTCCTGAACTAAAGATGTGCCAGAAGCAATTCCCTTGTGGTCTTCAGGTCCCTGGAGCAACTTCCAGTTCCATCTAGGAAGCTCAGAGGCCTGCTTATCTCATTGGTCTCCCTGCCTGGGATTGGCTTCCAGAGAGTAGGACTGAGGGTCCCTGAGGCTCAAAGTCGAAGAGAACAGTCCGTGCCCCTCCCCACCATGTCTAACTCAAGCCATATTTCATTAGTGTCACTGGCCCCCCTCGTGCTCATAATGGGCTGGAACACCATTAGCAGAAATAAATAGAGTAATAAAGAACAGGAATGAATGGGGTTTAGAGAAAGACAGCCGCTTGGGATAGAAAGAGGAGTTTGTGCCTGGGGACTCAAATGTGAACCAGAGAGACATGGTATCAGCTCACATAGGGCTTACTGTACAGTGGAGAAGGCTGACAAGTAAACAATGTTAACACAGTGTGACAAATAAGGACTGTGACAAATACAAATGAAGGAGCACCTAATCCAAGGAGACAGATGGGATATAGAGAAGGCTTCCTGGAGAAGGAGGTTTCTCAGCTAAGTCTTGAAGAACAAATAGAAAATTTCAAGGTAATAGGAGAGTCTCTGCTCTTGGGCAACATCCACTCCCATTCAAGCACAGTACCTGGGGTTTCCTGCCCATATTCTAGGGACCTACCTTATTTTTAAGGTGTATAAGAGTTCCTGGCTGTTGAAGAGGGGACTGTCCACACAGATAATGTCACAAGGTCTGAGCAGTTTGGGTGTGGTCTTTGTGGTCTCCTTAAATCAAAAGTTTGTTGTTTATTACTATTATTATTATTATTACAAACAAATGGGTCAAAGATAGCAGGCCTTGGCAGTAATCTGGATACAGTGGATAAAGAAGTGGGAGGAACCATACTAGAAAACACCTATTATACCTACAATGTGCCAGGCACCATTCTAAATGTGTTATATATATATCTCATCCAATCCTCATATTAATGCTATGATTTAGGTACTATTCTTATCTTTATTTTACAGATGAGGAAGTTGCAGCACAGAAAGGCCCAGTAACTTGGCCATGGTCACCCAGCCCATGGTATGACATCCAGGGTTCTAGTTTGGGTCCCTGGGTGAATGATAGTGCCTTTCACAGTGATGGGAACATGGGTGGAGCTTCAGAACTGATGAATGCTGCTTTAGGCAAATAGAATTTCTGTTAGCTCTCATACCAAAGCTAGTGTGATGGTTTCTCAGAAAGGTCAGGGTGGTGTTCCCTCAGATCTCTTTGGCCCAAATGCGGGTGTCCCAAAAATGCTATATGGGAGGCATCATGGAGCATGTCTTTCCCACTGGGACTCAACCCAGTCATGGTAGATCAGACCCACAGTGCTGGCCACAGAGGGACCTATGAAGTTTAGACATACTGCCCTGATGAAGCTGGCCCTCACAGACAATGAAAGCCAACTGCCTGGGCATGAAGCAGCTCTAAGGAATAAAAGAACTCAATCTTGTTTTCCAGATCTTGTCTCCTACATACTCCAAAGCAGCTAGAACTGCTGGACAACACATGATCAGGGAAACCTGAAAATTGGAGCTGACAGCATTTGGCCTAGCCTTAAGAGATTTCTTGCTTAAGAACCCTGAGTCTCTGAGGCCTTAATGGACCAATGGGCCACATCCAGTGGCAATGACAGGCAGAAGCTAGGATGAGATAGCCAAGACCTCCCTGTGAGGTTTCCAAATGTAGGGGGTGACCTTAATATCAGAAGGACACCCTTTAGGCTGAGTGGGCAAAGACTACTCCAAGAGACTTCCTCTAGAGCTTGTGAAAACTCTACAGGTCTTCTGATGCCTTTGTTTCTGTCCTGGCTTGTGCAGGGAACTGAGGGACATGTCAGGTCCAGCGGTTGGCCCAGAACACCCTAGAGATATTGTTGACGCCTGGATATCCCAGGAGACTGTTACTTTGCAGCCTGTAAATGACCTACCTTCTGGGATACAAAAAGCTACATAAGATACAGCTACTTCTATGGGAAAGTGGCTGGTCTTATCCTCTGCCCTTTATCCATGGCCATTATATCTAGAGGTTGTGGCTTCAGGGCCTGCTCAATCATGTTAGCAGCAGGGACCTGTTCACATCCTGCTTCTGTATGCAAATCATTCTTCCAGGTGAAGACCACCTGGGTAGCTCCTGTCACCCAGATACTAGACAAGTGCATCTAGATTATGCTGTCCCCTTACCTTTCCACTTTTTATCTGCTCCTCGACACTCCATGGGGGCCCTTTCTTGGACAGCATATTGCCAGTGCTTAAGTTTAGGAAAGATTAACCACATCCATTGGCCAAAATATCAGTCACTGGGCCTGTTTCTTCATTAATAGGATGGAGATGCCTGTTCACTGAAACTCAGATTGGGTGAAAATGCCCTGGGCATCACATACAGTATATGCCAGGCCTTTTGCTATGTGGTGTCTGTATGTTACCCCTGTCAACATTCATAGTCCTATGAAGCACACATTATGCTCTGCATTTTTCAGATGCAGAAGTTGGGTGTATTTCCCAAGGTCAGCAGAAGGGGTAGGGGCAGAGCTGGGGTGCATATGCGTAGCTCAGACTTTGAACGGTCTGAGAGGGGCACGTGCGCAGCCTGAAACCTTTAGGCCCCGCCCTCTCTCCGTTCCGAGGTGGCCCGGGCTGGCCCGGGCTGGCCCGGGTGCAGGTTGTACTGGCTCCCGCGGTCCCGCTCTCCCATCCGAGGGCGGGGAAGCGCGCGCCCACCTTCGCCACAGAGATTTCCGGGATCCTGGAGGGGCCGGAAGTGGTCCCTATTCTCTCTTCCGGCTCGGCCATTGTTTTCGCTTCCGCGGGCTACGACTGTGTCCCGCACGCAGGGGTCGCCGCGACTGTACCCGGGTGAGCGGAGCAGGGGCGGGGAGGGAGGTGCTGTCCGGGCCGGGGTCGCTGGGTTGGAGCCGCGGCCGCCCGCAGCCCTGATCGGCGACGCCGGCCCGGTACACGCTTTGCCTCCGCGGCCATTGGCGCGGTCCCTGTGAACTCTGAAGCTGCCAGTTGTAGAGCCGCCTCTTTGTCCGGTACCCTTGACCAACTGTGCCTGGCCGAGAGCCCGGCACCTGCCGGTACAGCGGAGAAAAAGGCAGACATGGGCAGGTGAGCTGCGCCGCAGAAGCCCTGGTTTAACGCAAAATGTAGATGGGTATTTTCCCAGCCTTGCGCTGAGAGACAATACAGAGCGTCAGAAGTGGGTCAGACAGTCTTGAAATTAAAAACGTGAAGTGTCACTTGGAGACCCAAAAGTGCAGATGAGATTAGCTGCTGAGCATTCGGAACTAGTAGGTAGGATCATTTTATCAGAACTTTTTACAGGTGTGGGATCTCAGAGCAGAGTTAACAGATTATTTTAAAGTTCTTTTTTTTTTTTTAACAGAAATTGAAGCCTAGAGAGAAGTAGCTTACCGAGGGTACTGAGATGCATGGTGACTAGCATTGATGCCCTAGTTACCACTAAGGTACTGATTTTCAGAGTTTTACGGTATATAAACTGGATAAAAGTGTCTTCCCCCACTTCAGTATCAGGTAAATGAACCACATTCATTCGTTTACTAAAGGTGTATGTGTACACACACACAGAGTGTATATATACAAAAGAAGACTGGAAACTAGCCCTGCCCTTGAGTCCTTACCCGAAGTGGGGGAGACAGAAGTGTAAACCACAAACAGTGTGATAAGTGTTCTAGTAGAGGTTTGAATGAAAAAGGTACTGTGGGCTCTCCGAAGCAATAACCACACTTAAGCCTGGAGAGATCAGGAAGGTTTTCTAGGGGAGGTGGTTGAGTAGAAAAAGGTCTAGCATTTACTGACTCCATTGGGTACCTCTCCTTTGGTGGCTGTCTACTAAGAGGGTGTGAGTGGCGAGTTGTGCATAAACTAGTTAAAACAACAGTGTTTCAGTGAGAAGTACAGAGAAGGAGGCTACCAGCTTTCTTCCTGCATGGGGCAATAAGGAAAACAAGCATTCAGGAGAAAATGGCATTTGTTTTGGGTCTTGACAGATGAGTGAGAGTTTGTCAAAAGTTGAAGAAGAAAAATCCAAACAGGACAAGAGTATGTGTGGCTTCTAATTGTGTCTTTAGAGCTTTAGTCCCAAAGTTTATTGTGCATCTCTGTCACAATAGAGGAGAGTAGAAGAGCTTTGAGCATTCACTTCCAGCATAGGTTTACTTATAAATTAAATCTATGTATTGTTTTACAAATTTCAGTACACATTATAAAACATAAATAGGAGATAAGTAACAACTTAGTGTGTTCTTAATATACCCTTTGGGTCATCTTGCATATTCCTCATTTGGAGGTTATTGCAGCTTCTCTAGCCTGGGTACCCGGGGAGAGTGGTAAGGGGTGTGTCTAGAACAGGGCCCAAGGCCAGGTGGTGAAGGGCTGTGAATGCTAGGCATAGACATTTAGGTTTTATCCTGTAGGTTATGGGAGCCACTGAAAGTTTAAGAAGGGAAGTCCCTTGGAGAGATGCTTAGAGACTTCCCTGGTTGTGCCTCCCTCCTTTTTTTCCTGGAGACTTTTTTTTAAAAAGATTTATTTATTTATTTATTTATTAGAGAGAGAGAGTGAGTATGTGAACAGGGGGAGAGGCACTAGGAGAGTGAGAGAGTCCTAAGCAGACTCTGCACTAAGCACCGAGCCTTACATGGGGCTTGATCTCATGACCCTGACATTATGACCTGAGTGGAAACCAAGAGTCAGATGCTTAACTGACTGAGACACCCAGGCACCCCTGGAGCTTTGGTTTTTAACTGTAGATAGTCTGTTGTCAGCCTGGGGCTGAACACTCTGGGACTGATTTCTCTCTTGATGTTTTTGTAGGTGACACCCCCATTGCCCTCTGTCCCCAACTCTGAAAACAGCTCCTGAGACCTGAATTACAAAACATCATTTTAATTGGACAAACTGCAGCTGAAACAAGCTTCTCTTGGAGGTCACAATGGCCACCCAAGGCAGGGGAACTTTAGGTCTCCTCCCTAGGGGTGCCGTTCTCCAGAAACAGGAGGGGCGCCAGACCATGAAGCAGGAGCCAGGGAGCCAGACTTGGGGTCAGGGCTGCAGTCTCCAAAAGAACCACCCTCCTGTCTGTGAAATTTTCCGGCTGCACTTCAGGCAGTTATGTTACCATGAGATGTCTGGGCCGCAGGAGGCACTGAGCCGGCTCCGGGAGCTCTGCCACTGGTGGCTGATGCCAGAGGTACACACCAAGGAGCAGATCCTGGAGCTGCTGGTGCTGGAGCAGTTCCTGAGCATCCTGCCTGGGGAGTTACGGACCTGGGTGCAGCTGCATCACCCTGAGAGTGGCGAGGAGGCTGTGGCCGTGGTGGAGGATTTTCAGAGACACCTAAGAGAGGTAAGCAGATGAGCCCAGAATGGCATCTGGACCCCTTCTCTGGTGGTTGGATTAGTCATTCTCTGTTCCCTAGGCTCTAGGCTGGTTTACCTTTAGGATTCCTGAGCCAGTTCCATGGATAGCAAGGAAATAGTTTTGTGCTTCAAGTCATAAACAAAAATACAGTTCCCAGACAAACTCTGTGCATTGCTTTGTGAACTACTGTGTCGTGAGCCTTGCTTCAACCTGGAGATCTACACAGTACTCCTGGCATGTAGAGGATCTGCCCACTGGTTAGAATGGGGGAGTGTGGTAGGGAGTAGATTTTTGGGTATGTTGATAACACGGACCTTCATTTGAGAAGTTCTCATTATTTACTTCCTTGGACTTCTCAGAGTCTGTTATCTCTCTTTCTGCATTTTAGGTTCTTGATGAGAGGTGACACTTCTGGGCCTCACAATCATTGGTTTCTTTTCTAACTTTCCAAACCCAACCAGTGTCTTTCTTTTTTTTTCTTTAATTCTCATTTTGGTTTACCCTGTTTCCTAGGGTTCTCTCAAATTTAAAGCCAAGGTAATTCAAATTAGAGAAGTTGGAGAGTCAGCAGTGTGATAACAGTGGGAAATTTGGCTTCTAGGAACACAGAGCTAACTAGCTCCATGACCATGTGTATCAGTCAGGGTGTAGCCAAAGAAGCAAAGCCAGCAGGAAATTATACATATTGTATATTTATATTTGTGTATATATCTATAGATTTGCTACAGAGTGGTTTAAATGATTATGAGGACTGGCAGTACAGGTCGGAAATCTGTAGAGCAGGCCATCAGGAAGGGCCAGCTGGAACTCAGGCACAGGCTGAAGCTGTTGTCTACATGCAGAATTACTTTTTCATGGAACTTTCAGCTCTGATTTTAAGGTTTTGTAACTGATTGAATCAGGCTCATCCTGATTGGGATGGGTCTTTGGACTCTATTTCTTACTCTGCCGTTATTGTCAGCTTAAGTTTTTTCTGATGTGGAAGACATGAGAATGGGACTGTCTTTCCTACCATAGGCTCAGAAAATATATTTATGGCTAAATGAATAAACATACTTTTTCATGGCAGTTTGCCAGGAGAAGATTAAGGAATATCAGGGCAGATCAGATTCATTCTGCTCAGCAGGAGCGAGCATGTGTATATGTGCACTTTGGGGCTGGAGAGGGTTGTAGAGCAATCCCTGCAGGGCTGCAGAATCATGCAGTTTACAAAATGCTTTTATATCCTGTATCTTATTTCAGTTCCTAGCAGGCTTACAAAATATGCAGATAGTAATCGTATCTCCATTTGACAAGTGATGCAAGCACAGAGAGATTGACTCATCTCAGATGGCAGAATTAGTGAAAGTTCTCTTTGTCCATGAGATTTAACTGAAGTGTGGTTATTGCTGATTACCACCAAGTGTGGGAATCAGAATTTTCTAGCTCCCTAGGTTCTAAGCCACTAGTTTTCCCCTAGTAGCTTGCTGTGGAGTGCCATCTTAGAATGAAAATTGGAACGGGGTTTTTTTGCCTACAAAGAAAAGAAACCTGGGAGTCTGAATCCTAGGTAATGAATGGGAACTGGACAAGCATTTAATTGTTGGTGAATTTCAAGGTTGTGTTATCATGATGCAGTTAAGTTCTATCTTCTTCCAATACCCACAGCAGCTGTATTTAAGAGCTGTAACTCCCATTTATAAGAACTGTCCAGTGGAGACTCCAGGGAGCCTCCTGTTTCTATCATTATGCTGGAGAGATATACAGTAAAGGAGAGAGTCCCTTCACATCTCAGCAGATGTAACCCAATGGAGCAAATCCAGCAGGATTTGTGAAGAAGTTATTTTCACCTTAGGCTGTACTGTGTACGTGGCAGTGCAAGCAAATGAGCCTATAAATGTGATTCATTTAGATGGTATTTTAGGTTTTCAGCTCCAAATGCTGGTGAAAAAAATAACCATGAGATTGTGAGGAGCTGGTTTGATGACAATAAGCAAGGGTTAGAAATACCTATCTCTGAGGTATTCTCAAGGTCTCTAAAGATTGGTATTACCTGATCTTATTTGACTTTTTATATACCTTATTTTGGAGGGCTAGTACATATTGAAAACTGGGTTTGCAGATAACCGTAAAAACTAATGGTAAGTATCGAGAAAAAAAAAGTATCAAGAGAAAATCAGTCAACAGATTTTAACTGAACACCAACATTGGGCCAAGCATTGTTCTAGGAACAAGTGATCAAGACAAAGTTCTTACCCTCAAAAAGCTTTTATTTCATTGGGGGAGAAATAGACAATAAAGGCATAAATAAGATAATTTAAGGGTTAAGACACAGAAAATGTAATCAGGTAATTTGAGAGAGAGTGACTACTACCCTTGCTTTGTCAGTGTGGTTAGGAATGGCTTCTCTGAAGAAGAAACACTTTTGCTGAGAGAAATTGGAAAAGCTCTCTTGAGGTTTGTCAGCCACTATTCTGGGCTGTTGCTTCTGCTGTCAGCCTCAGTAGCATTCTATGTGCATGTATACGTATATACATCTATCATTTTTTATTTTCTAGGTACTTCTGGTTGGTCTTTTCTGTAGACTAAGGTCACAAGGAGTGTATAGAATTGCCCTCCTGGCTCCTTTTTCTAGATTGTTCTTCATGAGCAAATTTGTGTCTGAAGAATTGACAAAATGGAAATGGTTATATAATCTGGTCTTCAGGCTCCTACCAAGAGGTTCAACAGAGGGATAGCAAGCAGGATTGCAAGCTATAGATCCTATTTTGACAGTTTTTCTCCCAGTAGGCTGTACTGGTGGGGCTGGAAGGACAATGGCTCTTCTTTTCCTGGCTTCTTTTTGGGGGTATTTCTAGAGGTTTTGGATTCTATACCTTGAAGGATGCTCTTTTGAATCCAATTATAATTCTTGTCTCTAGGTTTCAGGTACTGTACAGGAACAGGAAATGTGTTTGGAGGAGACGACAACCCTGGGTACAACAGAAGAATCTCTTTCTACCTCACCCTTCAGTGAGGGTTCAGCCTCTGGAGGCCGCCTGGAGCCTCCTCATGACCTCCTCCCCAGTGGGCACTCGGGTACTCAACTCCCCAGCTCTGGCCTCAAATCCTGCCTCCTTTTTCTCCTCAAGTCTCATTTCCTTTATCTCCCTCTAACCCACCCCGTTGGAATCCCTCATTGCCCTGCCCTCTGTCTTCCTTTCCTAGTGACTTTATCTGTTCCTTTTGCTTATTCTCCAGTCATTCATGCATTTAGCAAGTTTTTGTCTAGCACATGTCATGGGTAAGGCACTGTTGGGGACCAGAGAGATACAGTACACAGTCACTACTTTCAAAGAGCTTCTTATCTAGTTGGCAGAGAGTCAGTCAACTGCAAGAAGAGGTATCCTTGTAAGATACATTAAGTGATACCTGTTCCCAGGCATTTGATGCCATGAAAATGAGCAATATGGACATTGTAAACATAGAGCAAAATCATTATGGGCAGGGTGGGTAGGAGAGGCTTCGTGGATGAGGTAGCAGTGGGATGTGACAGTGAAAAATGGGGGAGCAAATTGAAGGGGGGAGAAAAGTGGTAGGCACCAGAGCAGAGGATATAAGCAGAAACTCTAAGTGGGGGTTCCTTGAACCCCACTGAGATGGAATAAGGAAGAACTGTTTTGAGGAGCATGGGGTCTCTTGAACAGGGCCTAACGGTTGAGGCTAGGAAAATTTTGATGGGTGGGGGTTGATGTGTTAGAAACGGTATTTTGGGAGAATTATTCTAATGCATGTGACCACTCTGGGATGAATGGTGAGACCAGTGGTTGGAAGCCCCGGTAAGAGGCCAGTGCCCAGAATGGATAGAGGTGATCATTGCCTGAACAATATTGAGTGGAATAGAAATAGAGAGACAGGTGACACATTGTGCAGGAAGAATCCACGGGACAATAAAGAGGAAGGAAAATTACGAGGTTTGGCCAATATTTGGATTCATTAACAGAACCTGGGTAGTCAGGAAAGCAAGTTGATAAGAAAGTCCATTTTTGACTGAATTTAAGGTGATGAGGGACACCCAATTCATATGTCCAGTAGGCCACTAGAATTCTGTAATAGGGGTCTGGAAGAGAGCTGGAACTGGGGAAACAGCATTGGAGCATTGAGAGTCTGTGAGATCTCTGACAGAGCAAAAAGGGACGCTCTGAGGCTGGAGCACCTGCAGTGTCCATAATGAGAAGCCGAGAGAAGGAAGGGAAATCAGGAATGAGGGGCCAGAAATGTGAGGGGCAGATCAGGGTGGGCTGATGCTAGGGAAGCCATAGGGAAAGAAAGTGGGCAGAAGTATAGCTTCCTTCAGAGAGTTTGAAGCGAGTGAGGGCTGGGAGGAATGGCCAGTTCTCAGTTGGACCAGGGAACCCTCTGCACCCTGAGAATAACATCTGCATGGAAAATTCACAGCACAGTCAGAATAACGCCTGTATGGAAGGGGGATGAGAGGCAGTGTGTGGAGCTGCCTGGGTTCTCTTGAACCCACTCACTGGGATACAGATCTTACTGGAGCCAAGGCAGGGCTTCTTCTCATAGCTCTCTTTCCTCCCTCAGGTCAGTGTACTTCTCAGGTGCCTGCCCTTTCCCAAGCTGGGAAGTCAGGAGACCAGGCAGTGGCAACTGTGCTTCGGATGGTCAGGCCCCAGGTGAGCTGGACTCTGTCTTCCCTGAGCTCCCAAGTCTGTGGCCTGGGAATAGCTAGCGTTCATCTCCAGGGCTCTGGCCAATTCTGAGATTAATCCTGCGGTTTCCCTGCCTAATTGCTTCCTCTGGAATTGGGCCCTGCCTGCTGAGTTCATGGATTCTGTCTGGCCCTGAACTTCTCCTTTTAGATGTGTCATCCCAGCTTCTCTCCCTCCCTCACCCCTTTCCCCACAGGGCCCGACCTGGGCTCTTGGTACCCTGATGTGTCTGCCCTTCAGGCCGGGAATATCCCTGAGCAATAGAAGCTTGTCATTCCAGGGATCTGCAGCGTACCAGTTCCTGTCTGTGGACTATACTGAGAGGAAGTGGAAAGGTCCGGCCCTCAGTCAGAGAGCCGTGTACCGGAGCATCGTGCCGGAAAATTATTGCAGCATGGCCTCATTGGGTAATGATTCTGTTCCCCAGTAATACAGTCTGCATTCTTTTCTTTACATTTTCTTTGCTATGTTCTTTTTTTGTCAACTTTTTTATTATGAAAAGTTGCAAACATGAGATAAAGTAGAGAGAATACTCTAATGAACCTCTCTGTGCCCATCACTCAGCCTTAAGTTATCAACATTGTCTTTACTTCATTATTAATTGACCTAGGGTGGTTTGGTTGGAGTTTGTAGTTGTAAGGAATAGGGAGCCACTCACATTATTGTAAGTACTGAGCTGTGTTACTTACAATAAGGCTGAAGGAATGGAAACCCTGATCAAACCCACCAGCTAGACCATCCTTTGGGAAACAGGGCCCTCAGCAACAACAGCAAATAATTTTTATGCCAGGGAATGTAATGCTATTGCTCCCCGCATATCTGTTTTGTCCTCCCACTGCTACCCATTTTCTTCATTCTGTATCTTTTGTCCTCTCATAGTTGCTTCTTTATTAGACTATCTGTTCCCACGTACTTTCAGCATGCTATGGCTCCTAATGAAGCCATAAACTGAAATGGCTTCTCTCCATGCCTCATTTCAGTTTAGAGCTCCTTCTTGTTTTAGTTTTCTTTATTTTGCCCTATTTCCAGCTCACATTTTACTTAGAGAGGGACTCCAAGGGTGGTTCAGCCTTTAAGTATCATCTCTGTTTGGGCAGAACTTTGCCCCTGGCCACAGCAGAGGTGTAGCATACAGAGAAGCTACACTTGGGCCTGGTGCCCTGGTCTAGTCAGTCGTGGTCTGAGATGTATTGAGACCAGTTACTTGGCACAAAGCATGGCTGCCTCAGCTTCCCCTTCGGGAAGGACTGAGGCAGGACAGCTTCCTGGAAAGGGGAGTTTTCAGGGCAGGTTCCCTGGTTGGCAAGTCTAGCACAGTAGCCAACTCTAGAGAGGGTGGGTGGGCTTAGGAGTCCAGGAGCCAGATATCTATATCTTCCCTATATGCTGAAATGCCATATGATGGCCTGTGGCCCTGGTTAAGATACGGTTAAAAGGAACCAACAGTTTTGTGTTTTAGACATGACTGATTGCTTGCTACTTCCACCTGTTCCAAATTCAAAAGGAAATACTTAACTGTTCAGTTTCCTAGGATTCCAGATTATCAAGATACCAAAGACATTTTGATTCCTATTTCAAATTATCGATCCCTTTCTTAATTTTTATAGGAATGTAGTACTTGCTGAATTGACTTCTACCAGTCTAGTGCACCAGAGACTAGGGGAATCCCCACTTTTACAGCTCTGCTGTCCCTTCCAGTACTTTTCCCCAGCATTTCTGAACCTGTGACTTCTCTGAATCTTGTCACTGTCCTCACATATGAGAATCACTTTTTTGGTATGTTTTTTCCTAACTGTGTTTGCTCATACTGTTTCTCATATTTGATTTGAGGTATTTGCCTCTCCTTTCTCTCCCCAGTATCTTTACTGGGAACCATGGAACCATACAGTGTCATGGTTGGAAAGGACGTTAGAGTTCATCATTTTACTAAGTGACTTCTGTAAGATCACACCACCTTTACAGTCTGCGCTCTTGCCTTCCAGTTGCTCTTTTTAGTTGGACAATTAACGTGGAGAAATTAAGAGCTTCACGACAGAGCTGTGTCCTGATAGCTCTTCTTCCACCCTCCCCCACTGACTGCCTTTGTCCTCTTTGTCTTTCTGTCCTTGAAGAAAAGCTTGAGCTATTTCCCATCTTTCTCTTGTTCTTAATGTGTCATCTCTTAATGTGTCCCTTAATGTGAAGGTTTTTTCAGGTCCATAGACTCCTGATGATTCTGTTTCATCAGCAGGACAAGAAACGAGTAAGAGTTGTTTTCTTCTTTCTTTTGGCAGCAGGTGAGACTAGGATGCGGCGTTCAGAGTTGCCTGCAAAGCAGGAAGTTTCTAAAGGATCGGCGTCATCTGATGGGACATCAGGAGGCCTCTGTGGAGTAGTTTCTGGGGAACCAGAGACAGGAGCTGCCTGTGAAGGTACTTTAGAGAAGCTGGAAGGGCAGTCCTCAGATGAAGAAGGGAGTGGACTGGAAAGTGATTTCTTCAAAATAATACACGAGGATAAGGATAAATCCACAAAAGATGGATGTGATGAATATAATGAACTTAGGAAACATCCAGATCTGTCCTCTAGTGCTGCAGAACATCAAGGAGTTCTGAAGGGACAGAAATTTTATCAATGTGATGAATGTGGTAAAGCTTTCAATCGGAGTTCACACCTCATTGGGCATCAGAGAATCCACACTGGAGAGAAACCCTATGAGTGTCATGAATGTGGTAAGACCTTCAGGCAGACCTCTCAGCTCATAGTTCATCTCAGAACCCACACAGGGGAAAAGCCCTATGAGTGCAATGAGTGTGGGAAGACTTACCGACACAGCTCCCATCTTATTCAACACCAGAGACTCCATAATGGTGAGAAACCCTATAAATGTAATGAATGTGCAAAAGCCTTCACTCAGAGTTCCCAACTGATTGACCACCAGAGAACCCATACTGGGGAGAAACCTTATGAATGCAATGAGTGTGGTGAGGCCTTCATTCGTAGTAAAAGTCTTGTCCGGCATCAGGTGGTTCACACAGGTAAAAAACCTTACAAGTGTAGTGAGTGTGGGAAAGCTTTCTGTTCTAATAGAAATCTTATTGACCATCAGAGGATCCATACTGGGGAGAAGCCTTATGAGTGTAACGAATGTGGCAAGGCCTTCAGTCGGAGTAAATGTCTTGTTCGACATCAGAGCCTCCACACTGGGCAAAAACCATACAAATGTAGTGAATGTGGGAAAGCTTTCCATCAGAACTCTCAACTTGTTGACCATGAGCGAATTCATACTGGAGAAAAACCTTTTGAATGTAATGAGTGTGGTAAGGCATTCAGTCTGAGTAAATGTCTTATTCGACATCAGAGACTTCACACAGGTGAAAAGCCCTATAAATGCAATGAGTGTGGAAAATCCTTCAACCAAAACTCACACCTTATTATTCACCAGAGAATTCACACTGGTGAGAAGCCTTATGAATGTAATGAGTGTGGGAAGGTCTTCAGTTATAGCTCTAGTCTCATGGTGCATCAGAGAACCCATACTGGGGAGAAACCCTATAAATGTATTGATTGTGGGAAGGCCTTTAGTGACAGCTCACAGCTCATTGTGCACCAGAGAGTTCACACAGGAGAGAAACCCTATGAATGTATTGAGTGCGGGAAAGCCTTCAGTCAGCGTTCCACTTTTAATCATCACCAGCGAACTCACACTGGAGAGAAGCACTCAGGTCTGGCTCGCTCAGTTTCTTAAGATGTGATTTCCCAAGGAACTTTGAATTAAGCTTCTTTTTATAAGAAGGAACTCTTAAAACTGCTCATCAAAATGTACCAATCCCATGCTTTCTGGTGAGTCATGAATGTGGGAGAGTGGGAGTCACAGTGTAATCCTTTTCTGCTGTTATGGAAGTAAGGACTACACATTTCATGTACTTTTAAGTTTGTTTATTCTTTCATTTATTCTTTGTTTTAAAGTGTTGAAAAATCTAACTCATTTCTCAGTTCTGCATCCCATTAATCAGACTGTGTACTTTTCAAGGACAGAGATTATGTGTTTCTTATTCTACTCCACCTCTTTTACCAGTTACATAAGTCATATTGCAAGATGGATTCATTCTTTTCTTTGTCTTGGCTAAGGCTCTCCCTATATAGTTTTTAAACTTCCACTCTAATTCAGGCCCTCATCACTTGTGTTCCCTACCTGTAAAACCTTTCTTTTCCTGTTGGCTAATGTATGTCCCTTAGATTCTTCCACATCCCTCTCATTTCTGAAAGACCCTGAAATGCTTTTTCTTCCCTCTTAAACTTCTATTCATTTGACCTCAGTGCTTCCAATTTAGTTGGTGCTACAGTGTGTAACTGTTACTAAACTACCTTGCCAGTCATTCTGAACTTAATGTGTATGTGTATACTTTCATATCAACTTATTGTAGGCTCTTTAAGGCTAGGTATGGTATCTATTCTTTTAGCATATAGATAATAATTTTCATATAGTAGTTGTTTAATAAATAAATTTTTTAAACTCTGCTCGAAGTTGCACCATCCTTAAATTGGGTATAAGATCCCCTTCCCCGGGCACCTGGGTGGCTCAGTTGGTTAAGCGACTGCCTTCGCCTCAGGTCATGATCCTGGAGTCCCTGGATCGAGTCCCTCATCGGGCTCCCTGCTCGGCAGGGGGTCTGCTTCTCCCTCTGACCCTCCCCCCTCTCATATGCTCTCTCTCTCTCTCAAATAAATAAATAAAAATCTTTAAAAAAAAAAAAAAAGATCCCCTTCCCCACCCCAATCAGACTACAGGCTTCTAAAGATAGAAATGTATGTGTAGGATATCACATACAGGGGCCTCATTGATATCTTCTATGTGTATCCCTGGACATCTCACCACTGTTACTTCATTGTTGGTTTCTGATAAACACTCTATTGTGTTTAGGAAGTTTCCTTCTATTCCTGTTATTTATTTCTTTGTTTTTTTTTTAAGTAGGCTTCATGCATATGTGGGGCTTGAACTCATGACCACAGGATTAAGATTTGCATGCTCTACCAACTGAGCCAACCAGACGCCCCTCTATTTCTGTTTTTAGAAAAAGCAAGATAGTACAGTAGTTAAGAACACTGATTTTGTGCCTAGTACCCTAATTCAAACCCTGGCTCCACCACTTTTCTAGGTGTGTGGCCCTGGGCAAGTTACTTAGCTTCTTTGTGTGTCAGTTCTTCCATCTGTAAAGTAAAGCTGTGCTTGTTAGGATACAATTAGTTCATCAATATTAGGCATTTAGAATAGTACTTGGCACTTAGTACCCACTATAGCAATTATTACTATACTTAGAGTTGCTAAGTTCTATCAAGTTTTTAAAAAAATCTGTTGGTATAATTTTATGGGTCATGTCCTTTATTTTTGTAATTCACTTTTTTTTACAAGTTTCCAAATGATTGAAATTTCCTTGAAGTCCTGGAATAAAACCTATTTGTTTGTGGTGATTTTTTTTTTTTAAGTAGAGAACTAGGTTGAATTTACTAAGGATTTCCTGGCTTTCCAAAATGTATTTGGAGAGTTTCTCTTTTATTTTCTGAAAGAGTTTACATAATGTGGGAATTATTCATTAAAGGCTAAAAGTAGTGGCCAGATCCTTTTCTGGGGAGGAGGGAATTGGGAGAGATGTATCCTTAGCAACATTTTTATTTCTTCAATGGTTGTACTCTTTAGGTTTCTCCCTCTGTGTAAATTTTGGTAATATATATCTAGATATCATTTTTACTGGATTGTTAAACAGTGGCATAGAGGACTCCACTTTATTTTTAAAAGTCAGACTGAATTTATACCCAGGAGATAGTTCAGGTGGTCAAATATGATGGTAAAGGTGCTAGGAGCTGGACACTTACCCTTTTACCTCTTATGCACAGAAAGAAAATACTCCATAGCTATACTCTACATCCCCAACCCTAATTATTCAGCTTTGAAATCCAGTAGGAAAAGTCAAGAGATTATGGGTACTAAAAAGTTACTGAGTATTGTTCTACATTGGGAGACATTTCTGTCAAGGCATTAACCTCCTGGAGTGCTACAGAGGATACATTCATGAAAACCTCTAGGTGTTAGGGACAAATTGTGAGTAACCACAGGTTAGCTTTTGCTTCATGGAAAAAAAATATCCCCTGACCCTAATATTAGGACAGTTCTAGCCTGATGGGGCCTTGTGGAAGCCCTTGTCCCAGCTGTGTACAGAGAAAGTGTCATGTCAGCTGGCTCCAAGTAACTAATGGTGCAAGTATTTGACCTAGGGTCGGACAATGTGGATACTACTTACTGAACCACAACAGTCGTCCCACTAATGTATGCACAGGACCAAGTAGGATGAGGAACAGACCCCCTTTTAAGGCATGCGAATGAAACCATATGAAACCATAGTAGGAAAGAAATATATGATGACCTACCCCCTTTTCTGACCTGTTGGTCTTCCTCAAGTTTTGCTTTGTTAGGAATTGTTGGCTGACTAAAAACAATGTCTTTTACCTTAGGTGGCCCAATCCGTAGACTTAAAAGTTTCTAAGAATGAATGTACAGATGACATTTTCTGATATCTAACAGGCTTTTCCCCCAAATCCCTTCCTGTTGCATTGTCTTCTCTATAGATGATGCATTTACAGTGTATTCAGTTTCCCAACTTGGTGCCATATGGATTGTGGATGGAGATGCACAAAGCCAGTAGTTATCCAAGATTTGGTTACAATTAGGTCATTGGACAAAGTAATCACAGGACAATATATGATAAGGAGTGGTAACCACAGCTGCATGTTCAAGACCATGGAGCATAAAAGTACATGCCCAGCCATTAGATTATATACATTAATTATATACTTTGAGTCCCATTTTAGAAAAATTGAAAAATGCTGTATCCCCTTACTGAGACTATGTTGCTTACTAGGGGAGGAGGGGCCAGAACAAATGCAATTACATCATACCTGTAGTGACTCTGGCAAGTCATAGAGTATGTCCTGATGTCAAGAAGAGACCACCAGTGAAACTCTCCAGTCAGTATTCAGGCTGCTTTGGCAATGGGTAAAAATTGATGACACTCAAGCTCTCCCTTGGGAACCACACCACTGGAGCCCCTAGAACTTGAGATGTATGTGGTCTATTACAGGGGCCATTTATGGAAAAGGTGGTCATGACAGCTGCCGTGATGCTAAATGTAAAACCACTAACAACTGTAATCTCTAAGCTGTGTGTTTACTATGGCCATCTACTCTTAATAGATAATAAAAAAATGGCCATCTACATCTATTCTAGTGAGTAGTACTGGAACAATGAGATAGTTGTTTTTTTTAGGAGATCTTTGATAGCCACTTGAGAAACTCTAGACAATTCACCTCATCGTTTCCTGTTTTCCTCTTAAGTGTGGACATGTGGTATACTTGAACAGTAGGATCAGGAACTGCTGGGCAATTTCCAACCATCTGCAAGGAAAAAGAGAAGTTGCATATCTAGTGAGGGGCCTCTGATTTTCCCAGAGCAATAAGCTAGAGTAAAAGTTACTAACAGTTTCTATTGTGGCAGAGGTAAAGGTATGCCTTACCTGCCCTGTCCCAAACAAGAAGCTATGTATAACACATCTTTCTCCATTCATCTGTCGATGGACACAGGTTGCTTCCATATCTTGGCAATTATAAATAATGCTACAATAAACATAGAGGTACATATGTCACTTGAAGTGAAGTATCTTTTGATCCTTTCTAATAATCTGAGAGACACATCCTCAAAAAGATTGTGAGTTCCCAAATGGAAGCATTACATTACCACCATCTTGACCAATAAATAAGACCTGAATAACTGGATATTGACTTCATTTACCCAAATATGAGTTGGAATTTCTTTGGCTGGCAGATGTCATGATAAAGATGGAAATTGTTGAATATTTAGGTAGTTGTGACCCTCAAAATACCCACATTCTGAATAGTGATGCTGTTTTGGACTGGATGAATAGGCTTTTGTCAGGAAAAAAAAATACACTTGCAGATAAAGGCAGCAAGTTGAATAAGAGACACTGGAATTTTATTTTTAACGTGGGTCCAAGTGATTCTTATGTTTTCTAAAATTTGAGAACAACTGGGATGGAGTATTAATGAGTAATCATTACCTCCTGGGAGCAAATATGAAGTTACCAGCTTGAATCAGAATTAATGACCCTTCTCCCAAATAAAAGAAAACGTGAAAAGCAAGACTAAATTGATCATAACTGTCTTAATGAACATGAATGTTTTTCTTAAGTGTTTCCTGATAAGGTGGCAATAGTGTCATGGACTTCTACTTCAAGCATCAATGGGGGGGGGGAGGGGCTGCAAACTTCTGTTAGTCTTATTATTTCTCTGAATCTCTGTTTCTCAGTCTCCTTGAAATGTGGCAGTATTGTTGTGCCACCTATGTGAGCTAATGGATAAAAAAACTCCCGGTGTGCTCCTATTCCAACTGTCTCTTTCACATTTCCTCTTGATGTCTAGTTGGCATCTTTCACTTAACACATTCAAAACAAAACTATTGATCCTTTTCCCTAAAACCATTCCTCTTTCAGTCTACTCTGTTTCTTTCTAAAAAGGAAACTTACTCTAGTTGCTCAGATCAGTGACTGTAGAGTTATCTTTAACGAACAACCAATTCATTAGCAAATCATGTTGCCTCCCATGCCTTAAAAATACAATTGACCCTAAAACAAATGGGTGTTTTTTGAAAAAATATTTTATTTATTTATTTGACAGACGGAGAGATAGAGAGATCACAAGTAGGCAGACAAGCAGGCAGAGGGAGAGGGAGAAGGAGGCTCCCTGCTGAGCAGAGAGCCGGATGCGGGGCTTGATCCCAGGACCCTGGGATCATGACCTGAGTTGAAGGCAGATGCTTAACCGACAGCCACCCAGGCGCCCCTGAAAGGGTGTTTTTTTTTTAAACTTTTTAAAATCATGTTCAATTAGCCAACATATAGTACATCAGTAGTTTTTGATGTAGTGTTCAACGATTCATGATGTCTTTTTTTTCCCCAGCAAGTTTACTTAAAAATTTAGAGATTTATGACAGCTTGAAAAAACTCACAGAAGAACAGGGAGCCTAGAAATACCAAAAAAAAAAAAAAATTAAGAAAAAGGTATTGTAAGAAGACAATAGATGTATGCTGGTGGAGGGGCTAGAAGGTGGCAGCTACAATGATAGGAAGGCAGGCCTGAGGAGGGGCACTAGGACCTCATGGGAGGAGAGCTCTGCCGGTGAAGACAGGAGAATCTGCAGACATCAGGTGGGGACTCCATTTCAGAGATGCTGGGAGCAGCAGGGAAGGCACAACTGGCATCTGCTTCAGCTGTCACTGAGGCCTTGGGTTACAGAGGGTCTCCTCCCTCTCCCCATGAGAGGGGAATCTGGGAAGAGTGTCACCATAAATGGGGACAGGGACTCAGCTGCTTCTGGAGCTGGCCAGTCAGGAGATGGGCTTCTCATGCAGACTCCCTGCCTGGTGAGATGGAGGGGGCAGGGGTAGT